TTAATTTGTGCAGTAGAGCAACGTGGAAGAATTTGTAGAATTATGACAGTGTTTTTGATGTATTTTGGGTTGTTGCAGTTGAAAAAGAAGTACTTGAAGCTTTTGGAGAAGTATTCAAAGCTTGAAGAGATTAAAAACAAGTTCCGCAACTCCACCGCGTTGGTACAGAACAAATACGATGTGATTGAGAAAGAAAATGGAGTTCTCAAAAAAGGTAAATGTTGCATTACTTCAACATTTTTTTTTTCCTAATTTTTTCATGGTATTACTTAGTGTTATTACTTCAAGGTGAATATATAGGAAGAATATTTAGACTTGATCCTGAAAAACCAGTATTGTTTTTGTTATTTTTACGTGTTTTTGTGTGGATAGGCATTTTGTAAATTGTCACTGAAGGATGAACCTAAATTTATTCTTTAATGTATTTTCCTTCTACAGCATTGTAGGAACTCAAATTCCAAGTTAATACGTGGAAAGATGAGAAAGAAATAGAGTTTGGTCGTCATGTTGATCTTGACGATGAAGTTTCTGCTCTAAAGGAAGAGATCCAATTGCTGAAGCAGAGTCATAATTCTGCTCCTCCAGATGCAGCTAAGGAGACTCAAGAACGTTTTAATTCATCTGAGAAAGATATTAAGCTACTGAAGGAACTTCTGGAGAAAGAGAAGGAAAGAGTATCTTTGGAGAAAAAGAAAGCTCAGTTGGAGAAGAAGACAGCTGACGAGACTTTGAAGAAGGTCAAGCTGGGGAAAAAGAAGGTTAATGAAGCACATAAAGTGGCTACTGGAGAAAGGAAAAAAGCTGAGGAAAATAGGCTCTTGTTGGAAAAATTAAAGCTGGAAACTGATGCAGTAAAATCAACTTTGGCTTCAGAGAACTCTAAAATTGAAGCCGCAGAGAAGAAAGCCGAGGTGGAGAAACAGAGAGCTACTCGAGAAAGGAAAAGGGCTGATTTGACTGAGATAAAATTAGAAGAGCAACGTGAGCATGCAGAAACGAATTAAAAGAAGGTCATCTTTGAAAAGGAACGAGCTGATGAATTAAATCAAAAGTTGGAAGAGGCTAGGTTTAGGGCTGAAAAAGTAGAAGAGTTGAATAAAAAATTATGCTCTGAAAAAGCTGTCAAGGTTCAAACGGATAAGTCCAGAACTGGCAAAGATGCAAATAAATCAAGTGATGGTTGCATGGATCTGCTAAAGAAAGATGCCCAATTGCCAAAATGGATGGAGAAACTTCTCATGGATAAAGAGCAAAATATTAATAGGGAGAGAAAGCATGCTGATTCAGAGGGAAAGAAAGCTGAGAAACATAAGGAAGTTGCTGAATCACAGAAAAAGCTGGCCCTGGAACAGAAGAATCGAGATGATCAACTGTCTAAAGAATTAGATAGTTGTAGGTTGATGTTAAAAGAATTACAAAAGGAGCTGAAGGAGTTTATTTTCCAAAGGACAAATGCAGATCATGCACGCCTGAGAATTAATGAGGATATAACTGAAACTTATACAGATAAGCTGCTTAAGAAGCGGTTGGGGCTAGAGAAGATGCTTGCAAAGCATGCCAATGAGACAGCAAATGTGGAAGCCCTTAGTAACAGAATGCTACATCGAGAACTATTTCAGTTGAAGCAGGAGTGTCTTTTTTTCCAACAGCGTTTGGATTTTCTAGATAAAAGTTTTCTGCACGGCCTCGAAGGTACACATCATCTCGAAAAGGTTAGTTTCCTCTTGCTCACAATTATTTACACACTGTTCACTCTACATAAATCATGATAGTGCCTATTTTCTGTAGATATACATATAAATAAAGATGCGGATAAAAGTTCTCGTCCACCATTACTTGCCCAATTTTAATTATTTGTACTAATTAACTGGCTATGTTACCTTTCAGACTGGGAATCTGACCTTGACGAGAGAAACATTAGGCTCAGATGGGTGTCAAAGGCCACTCGTATTAGGTATAGATTCTGGACTGGATCCTCAATATAGAGGTTCCGACCAAAACTTGTTACAGAGTTGTGTGATAAATTCAAATTCGGCATTTTTTTCTGATCGAACATTGGTGGGATCACAGGATAGACATACCTCCTCTGTCACTGCTTCAGATAAACTTGGTGAAGATGTATCAAACCTCAAACCTACTGTATCAAGGTTGGCGGACCAGAGGGGAATGAACTACAATGAACATGTAGTAGCTGAAGCTGATAACAACATAAGAAGTTCATTTAAAGACGACGATTATGAAATGAGAGTTGTTTACTCTGGAAGGAGAGTTGTTTACTCTGGAAGGAAAAGGATTCTTGATGCGATGGAGTCCATTGAAAATTCGTATTCTATGGAAGAGAAGCTACATCAACGTGTATTACATAAACTTTCCCTCCTTGATGGTTTCCTCAATGGCCAAGAGAAAGAACATGAAGACATTCTGCAAGAGAATCCGAGCAGAAAGATTGTTAGACCGCGCAAGAGGAGAAAAACGTCGCAGGAGGGAATGAAAAACATTCATCATTCAGAAAACTCTGAGGAGCCAAAAGGCAATGTTGACTTGGGTGTTGATCAAGCTGATGCTTTTGTTCGTGCTTCACCACCTCAAGTAGATGTGATGAGAATTGGTTGGCATTTGAATGGTGGAGAGGATGATAAATTTGGATGGAGGAACCAGTGCCTTCCGCAAGACTTCGATGACATGGCTGCTTGTGACCATATGAGATTGCTGGACTTAGATGACGCTGATGATGAAAGCTCTTACCTTCGGGCTATTTCCATGCCTCTCTCTCCTCTGCTACCTGAGGTTGATATTCACGGTGGTAAGAATCTTGAAGTAGATAATCCTGAAGTGTTGACATACAAAGGTTGTCCAGAGACATCAGTAAATACAAAGGATAATTCATCATCAATTTCTAGCTTTCATAATATGGACATGGAGAAGAATCCCACTAGCCTGGTTTCTTTGAAGTTGCAGCCTAGGGGTGATTCCGTTGACTTCTTAAAATGTAAAGGTGCCTATTTGAGTAGTGATACTCTTCTTAGGCAGACCCTTGTTACTGATGGAAAGTCGAGGCTGCCAAATCTATGTGGTTCTGGAAACAAGGAACCTAGTGTAGAAATTCGACTTGTTTCTCCTAATGACTGTCTTCCAAGCTATTTTATATTACCTTCATACAAGAAAGACAGTTCTAGCATCTTGAGGATCCTTCAGACAATGGTGAGCTGCATACCACGATGTTCTTTCTATCATTCAACCGAGATGTTCCTTCGAAGTATTCAACATGCTCTTTCAAAGGCAGAAGATCTTTCAATGAAGTAAGTAAATTATGTGGATGACAGTTTGTAGTTGTTTATAGAATTGATAAACATTAACTGTCATGCAGGAGATCCTTTTGGACATACGTCTATATCTCTAGGTTTGTTATAAGTCTTGATTAACTATTCCCCGTCCGAACCTCCATTTGGAGTAGTGGCAGAGATTTTAACTTTCTTGAAAATCATTTCTGAATATTAATTTTCATATTGGTGCCTAAAAAGATTTAATTTCCATGTGTGAATTTTATAGGCATCGTACTTCTTTTCTCCAATATTTTGATCCCCTAACTAATCTGGGATATGTGTGTATTTTCACCCAGACTATTTGTTAACTAAATACTTCTGGTTTCCATGAGATGGGTCTCTGCTTCTGAAGATCATGATCTTTCGTTTATTTTAATCCCTAACAGTGTTGGGTTGAATGCATTGTAATACATGTAGTACTATGTAAAAAAAAAAAAAGAAACTAATGACCCTGCTTTTTTTACTGTGTCGGCAGGGAGAAAGTCTGTGTATTCTTCTCGTTATTACTACATGGGATTTCTGAGGTTAGAGTTAGCAGGCCGCCGGATTTCTTGGATGATAAATTACTCCAGTCATTTGATTCGGTAACACAGAACATTAGCTCAGGTATATATCAAAATATTTTCTTTTAATATTCATCAGTTGTTCCGCGTTGCAGTTCCATTCCTTTAATTGTCACTAATTTTCCTTTTCCCTCACGCGTGCAGCACTCTCTGATCCAGCTTTGAGAAGAATGTTTGTGGAAACATTTGATTTGTTAGAACTATTTTCTGTCATAGAAAACTTTATACTGCAGGGGGAGATGTTTGTTTGTGGTGAAGTATCTGGTAGTCCGGAGGCTACTCATCGTTTTAAGGCAAATCTCGTTCTCAATGGTAATGCCATAATAGTATTTGAAGTGATTGCTTCAGCCCAGCTGTTGGTTGCTGGGGCAAGTCTTTTAGCGTCATTGTGCTTTGCCGTTGGCTATATTGGTTTTGTTTGTGAGATGTCATGCAACATTATCACAATGAATAAATTCGACCATCACATGATGCTGGCAGTTCTACATGCTTTTGCCCATGTATGCAGCTCCCAATATTTTGCCCTTCAGCAGTATTCGGTGGCAATGACTGTTGTAAAATCTCTGGTTACGTTTCTTGAGAAGAGAGTTATGTCGGACGATTCAAGTTCTGGACCATCAATGGTTGAAAATCGATCCAAATTTTGCGTATGTAGAAATAATTGTCCGTTCTCAGAGGGTGGGCTATCCTTGGAGGATGTTGCGTCATTACTGTTGGAAAAGCGTCAGAAGCATGGGCAGTATAATTGTTTGCCACAGGGTCTGCTAGTTCCAAGAGTATGTTCTCATGATGAGACAACATTAAAAATTTTGGACTTGAGAGAGGATGTTCTGTCGAGTTTAACATCTGATGAGAATTTATGCGACTTCAGGGATACTCTATCTTTGCTTGAGATCCTAGCTTCTTTCATTGTACGAATTCCCCTATCTATATCTTGTGTGGAAGCCTCTTTCTTTTGTTGATTAAGAGATTGGGGTATCATTTGTAGATTACATTAATTTGTGGGGTTTGTGATTAAATTGGGTCGTTCTGTTAATTAAGTGCTAGTGGGCAAATGTACTCACTTTTTTTTNTAAAGAGATATGTGCGTGCGTCTGTGTGTGTGTGTGTGTGTGCTACTCTCTTTCTTCTTTTTTTTCTTTCATTTTGATCTACTTGTACACAGCCATTCATATGGCTATTTTCATATGATATAATACTAAAATATTGTCTTAATGAACTGCAATATGTTGTGTGTGATTGAATATAGGCTCCTCCCAGTTTTGATGTGTTCTTTATTCTACTCTCTCCTTTTTATTTGTCAATTTCCCTTCAATTTCAGCAAAATCTATTTTGCTTCCTGTATTGTCTTACTGTCGTTTTTCTCTATCCAGAGCTGGGACTGGACATTTGACCACATCATAGTTCAACTTTGCGAGTATCTTGAATCTCATCTCACAGATACTCATCTCACGGAGGGTTTCTCTGCCGCTATACTCGTGCTTCTTGGTCAACTTGGAAGGTACATTCCCTTGCAGAATAGAGTTATTGCTATTATTTTACATTCCTTTGCACAGCTGGCATTCACAAATTATACTTTTTTCCTTATTAATTTTTTTTTTTTATTAAAAAAAACATGGCTGCCTGCCTTGGTCAATATACAGAGTAGGATTTGGTGCTAGTGTATATGAGGATGCCCAAGTTACGAAACTAAGGAGTCGGCTATCGGAATTTGCATGTGAGACCACTTTTCGGAAACTAAACCTTCCTGTACAATTTGCTATTGTAACGTCCTTGTTTGGCCTAACGCGGATAAAATTTGATGAAGTTATCGAAGGTAAAGTTGAAATTGCTGCAGCCATGTGTGAATCCATTCCTGCTAGTTTTGTAAAAGATTGGTTTTTCCGATTGAGTTGTGAGCAACAATCGGCTTTTAGGCTCCATCAGGCTGGAAATATTCAGTCATGACACTTTTCTTTTTCAATCGAATGTTACAAGTTTTGGTGCAATTTTTTAAGACTTGGTCATATCTAGACAATAGTTTTTAGTTGGATGTCATTGTTAGGCCTATAAACGAGCCATAAATCGAACTCGAGTTCGGCTCGTTTATCAATATTAACGAGCCGAGTTCGAGCCTTAACGAGCCTATCTCGAGCTTTGAAGAGTCGAACTACAGAAAATTATAAAAAAAATTCACATTTCGAGCCTTGACAAGTCGAGGTGAGTTTGCCTTGTTAACGAAACGAGCTTCAAGTGAGCTCGAGTTTGGCCTGTTTATCAAACCAGTCAACCTGAACTGAAGCCTTAGGGGGTGGTTGGATATGAATTCAACTAGTTAAAAACTAGTTCTTTTTTTTAACTATAGTTAAGTTTGAAAAAAAGTAGTATGGTTAGTTGTTAGTGGATATATTAAAATAATATTTAAATTAAAATAATTAAAGTTGATTTGATGTAAAAGTAGGAGAAAATGATTGGAAGTGATGGTTAGTTAAAATTATGTGAGTGAGTGAATAGTGAATTAAAATTGATGTGATGTATAATAATGATTGGTTGATATTATTTAATTATATTGATAATATTAGAGATAATGAAATTGAGTTAAAGTTGAGTTAATTTAAATTTTGAGTGGGATATTTACTGTAAAAATTATATACAATCACGCCCACGAGCAGAGTGGAGTTGAGCTTACAAGCGGCTCGTTTCGTTTGACAACTCTAGTCATTGTCTTTTCTTCAATGTAATTTGTGTGCACCAAATAGGATGCAACTGACATGCAACTTGAATGCATTTAAACTCGAATGCATTTAAACTTGACATGTCTTTGGGTGTGTCACTTTCCATCTGTTTTATTTAAAAGTTAAAACTACGAAGTTTGCCAAACTAGTTAATGAAAGAAATTTGTAACTGCCATAGCCGATTATACGCTCGCTTCGTGTCTCTTTCATCCCCTTTATAAATTAGCGGGCATCCATTTTTACTAGGGTATCAGAAGGAATTTTTCCTCTTATTTTATTAGTTTCTGTGATTATAAAAAAAAATTGGAAAATATATTTTTCTGTTAGTAATTGCCTTGGGAATTCGGAGTGTAATTTAAAATTGCAATTAATTATTGCATTAAATAGAAAGAAAAGAAAAAAGAAAAAATTGGCTATTCAATTTTTGTCTCTATCTCCTGCACAACCCAAACACCGCCTCCCACGTACTCTCCGTTCTCCGGCGCAATCTTCCATTATTAAAACCACCTTAAAAAAAAAGGAGGAAATCTTG